GTATGGTGATGGATTCTGAAGCGAGCTAGAGGGATGGAGAGCAACGGAGGGCACTATTGTGGTGTAGGGGTCATGTTGACGCTGAGGAGGCGACAGCTGAGCCAAGGCTTGTCAGATCGTTGGCTTTTCCTGCTGGATGTAAGGTCCTGAAGGCAGTCTTCAAGCGGTGAGTTTCACAAAACTGACTTCAGAGGCCAAGGGACTTGTCTGGCTCCTGTAGGGAGCACCCAGAAGATAGACTTCCGGACCTGCCCCGGGGAATCTGGAGGCCAGAGACAGAGTCTGCATGTCCCCTTGCAGAGAAGGTGGCCACTCCCAAGACCAGGGGCTGTAGCCCAGCCGGAGAGCAGAATACTGTGGACAGGGCATGTATAGCCAGGTCATTCCCGCCCTGAAAAGGGAACCCCGTCAGAGACCCCAGAGAATCCTGGCCATGCCTGCTCTCACCATGGGTTCTCCCTCCGCATCTACCCTGGTGACTCCAACTGCAGACTCCTCCTTCCAGAAGGGACCCTGGTTGGCATGGTGGATGTCTCCATCCTGAGGCACAATGCCACCAGAGGGGCTGAGATCCAGGCCTGGGAGGAGGACAGGAATGGGAAGGTGGAGTGGGCATCAGAGCCCGCTGGCCAGACAGCTCTGTCCTCACAGCCTGTGAGCAGAGCCCAGAAGAAGGCCAGTGAGAGGTAAGCATTCTGCTATCTGGCTGTGCCTTTTCTCCAGATACTCATCTCTGCCTGGCTGGAAGGTGGCAGCCCATGGTGGACTTTTGAGCCCTGGGTCAGTGCTGGCACTGGGTTGAGGAGTAGAGGCAGAGTGCTATGGGCCTGGCAAACCTCTCCCTGGCCTACCGCACACCAGGCCTGCTTCTGTGAGCTGAGCATTCTTGGCTGCCAGGGAGCTGCCTTCTTGAAGCATTCCTATTCCTACCCACTATATCACTTGCACTAAGAAGATCAATGTACTGGCCCCTTCAAACCCGAGACCCCCAGAAGATTCAGGTCAGGCCTCCATAGTTTAGAGTAATTCCAAGAACTCTGAATAATGAGTCTACCTCAAAGAAGGTTTTAAATGGAGGCAGCATGGCACCAGTTTGGAGTCAGATGTCATCTGGGTTGTCAGACTAATTGCTCGAACCTCTCCTGTCCCCAATTTAGCCAAACCTCAATACCTTTCTTTGGGCAGCTACCAACCTCTCCTCAAAATCACTGCAGTTTCCCAGAGAGATGACTCAGTCCAAAGAGCATCTAAACACCAAGCCAAAAATTTTTAAAAAATAAAATAAAATAAATTGGAGCTTCAGCTGGAGAATCAGATGCGATCTCTGTGTCACATCACTTGAGAAAATTCATCTTTCCTTGGAAAATGATACGATCAAAGCTAGCGTTTACTAAGGTGAGTTGTGAGCTGGACACTTTCTATCATTCACATGTAATAATTTATTTAATCCTCACAAGTACCTTCTGCGACCAGGGCTATTTTACCCCCGTTTCCTAGACAGGGAACTGGGCTCCGGGAGAAATCAACACAGCTCCTGCCTTCCACAACCAGGCCAGATGAAGCCCGAACCACCTAGGGACCTTTCCTTCCAGCCTCAGCCTGGACCCTGTCTTTCTAAGGCAGAGATTTTAGTACTCCCTCCAGGATCTCTGTCTCTGGAACCCTGGAAATCTTGGCTTCCATGCAAAGGTCAGCCCAGAGACCCAGGGCACACCTGGCCCCAGGTTCTACCTCACCAGGCACAGGTCCAAAATAAATCATTTCATTAGACTTAATAACATAGTCCCTTTAACTGCGAAGTGTTGCCAAATAGAGAGCCCTTCAGTATGCTTTAATGAACAGATAAGAATCTTTGTAATTAACTCAGCAATGGTTTGCATGCAAATGGGTATTCTTCTGAGTGCCCTGAGACTATTGTTATAAGTATGGGATAAATACACTTCTGACCATCCCTTCCTCCAACAAACTCCTATGTGATCAACAAGCCCCGAAGGTTATTTAAGCAGAAGGGCAGCAACCCCCTTCTGTAGAGACCCGTGGCTACACCAGAGCCAGATTATGCCTATCTTACTCCAGGCCCACCAACCTTCCCTCACTGCTCCGTCCAGACCTCTGCCCTCCTTGCAGAGAAGCAGAGGAGCTGTGAAGCTTCAGCGCCTGTGCACATGACTTGTATGGTATGGGGTGATAGGGCTCCAACCGCAGTGTGCTTGGCTGGTTCTTGTGTACAGTTGTGCACATGCGTGTGTGTGTGTGCATGTAGGAGGCCAGGCCTGTCAGTTTGGCAGGTGTGTCGATGAGTAGGGGAGCTCAGGGAGAGTGTGTTTGTGACATGTGCTCTGCATGTGTGTCGGGAGTGTGTACACGTGTGCCCTGCTGGCCCCATTGTCCACCAGAACCCAGTTCCTCATCTTTTGACCAAAATGTCACTTTGATCCCTGGTTGCACCTGGTGCTTTCTTGTGTTTGCACCTGCAGTGGGGATTTCTGGATTTCTGGGATACACAGTCTCCCTGTGGCTCTGGCATGTCTGGAGACTTCCTCCAGGAGCTGTAGCTGCTGGGGTGTTCTTTGCTCCCCCTCAAGCCCTCTCTCCTCCTCCCTGAGGGACATGTCCCCTGCCCAGTGGGCTAACCGCAGTCCAGCTCCTCTGTCCTGTGCCCGCCCTTTCCCTGATGGAGAGCCATCGCCCCTGGGAATGAATCTGGAATTGTGTCTGGGGGGGGGGAGGGGAGCACTGTATGTGAGGGAGGAGCTCCCATCAGTACTAATGAATCACATCCCACCAGGGGAGGGTGGACTCCACTCTGCCACTTGGATGGGGTGGAGATAGACGTGGGGAATAAATAATGAGAGACAGAGAGGACAGGGCAAGAGGAACCCTTTACTTGCCCTCCCACCCATCTGTCACACTGGCCTTCCCTCCCTCTTTGCCGAAAGGACTGGGGTGGCCGTCTGCTGGTGAAATCCAGGTGGGAGACATGCAAGCCAGGTTTTGGTAAAGATGGGGCACAGAGGTTTACTCCCCCGGTCTTGTTCACTGTCTCTTAGCTCCTGGTCTGCTCTCCTAGCTGGTACGAGCCATCTTGTGTCCTCCCTTTGCGTCAGATTCCTCTTCCTCGCTGAGGGGGTGAGGCCTCTCCCATATCTACAGGCATGCACCCCTGTAGCCCAGAGGCCAAGGCTTCCAAGGTTCACCTTTTCTGTGCTCCAAGCCTCGGGGAGGGGGGTCACTTCCTTGCTCTCCCCTTATCCACTTCTTTCAGCCAGGCTCCTGCAGGACTCCATTCCACTATCCCAGCCAAAAGAATCCATCCCCCCCTCCACCCTTTGTTTCTGACTTCTCACCATCTGGTAGACCCTTCCCAAGGCTTCCCCTTAACACCACCCCCAAACCTGTCCCAGAGTGCCTTTCTGGACGAACTGCCCAGCTTCCACATTTACTTTATTTCTTCTCCTCTGTGGGCTAAGTGCTGAGGCATATTCTTCGCACTTCACATTGTTTATCTGAGTGCATCGATGCTGTCGTCACAGCCTTCTGTCTTCTCCATGGCCTAAGCCTTAAATGGGGTCTCACAGTCTCATGCCCATCACTGAGTACATCAAATCCTTAGAGACCGCTCTCTCTCCCTGTCCCACCACCATCTCTCTCCAGCCTCATCCCTCTTTATTTGCTCTCAGTTGCCTCAGGATGTGGCAGAAAACAAGTAGGCTTGGCGCTGCCCACTGGGTCACTTCTAAGCTGGACATTATGGGCAAGTTATTTGCCTTCTCTGTGTTCCTGCTTCTCATCTGTCAAATAGCAGTAGTAATTCCTGTCTCTTTGTACTCCTGTTAGCAATACAGATGTTCAAACAGTGGGTCTCTTCACAGAGGCCTGTGCCTCTTGCTTAGTAGTGACAATTTCCATGTTTGTATGCCCAAAGCTACTGTGCTACCGGCTGAAGGTCACACAGCAAGTGCACTGCCAGGTCCCAGGAGTCTAAGTCCTGGGGTCCCCCAGGACTGTCCCAGTCCCCCAACCTGTCTAAGGAAGTTATGTCCCTTGACGTGAGTTTCCACCTCAAACCCATTATGGTATTTTCAATTTTCTCAACGTGGTCCCAAGACCGTTCTCCCTAATCCGGAAGACTTCTTCTAAGGGAAAGTGGAGAGGAGGTGGGGAGGGGGCCTGGTACCTGGCACATGTAGGTGCTTGTCAATATTTGTTGCCGACCAGCATGTAACTGTGTCCAGAGCTGGTGTGCGGGCAGATGGCAGTGTGTGGGCGGGCCAGGGAGCTGAGTGCTGGGGTGGAGACAGGCCCGGGGCACCTTCTCCTTTGCTCTGCCTTCTCCAGCCCTGACTGTCTGAGAAATCTCATTTTGCTAGCAAGCTGATTCATGGGCCTGGTTCCCCAGAGCTCCTGGAGCAGCTCTCTGTCAATAACTATTCTTTACAAGGTCCCTCGATTCGTTTTCGGGCTTGAAGACAAATTTTTAAAGAGGAGTTCAGTGCCAGGACCATTCCAGAGGGGCTGTTAACTTAACGTCCCGCCTCGTTCCTCTAAGCCTGCTCCCTCTTGAATCACATGAGGGTCAGGACTTGCCATTTCTGGCAATTGCCTCTGAGTTCTCGGATTTGGACAGGAGGTGAGGGATGGAGAGACCAGGGCACAAATTACAGGCCAGGGCAGTACGTGGGGCTCTGGCCCTGTCACTGGGTTTGCTATGTGACTTTCAGCCACCCTACACACCCCCAAATCCCTTCCTTGCTTTCCTTGTGTAGGAACAGAGGATGGTGAATACCACCATGGCAGCATCCACTTCTGGGGTGGCCTGGTTTCTGGGTTTTATTTGGAAGAGGCCTCAGCACTGCAGACTGGCATGTCTCCATCCCCCCACCTCCTTGTGGGTTACACAGCTCTGCAGCTGAATGCCACTGTCTGCACGTGCCATTTCAGTATGCCCAGAGTGTAGAGTGTGTGCACGCAGAGAGGAAGAAACAGAGTCAGCCATCATGTACTGTCTGTTCTTCAGGAGCTGCTGCTCCCACCCCATCTGGTCGCCTCCATTTATTTAAGAAAAATCCGACACAGTGGAGGGTAGAACCCAAGAGAGAAAAGTGGTTGTGGGATGGGTAGGGGAGACGCCCAACTCCCTCTGCCTTTGCCCATCCCAAGGTCCTTCACAGCATTCTCTGGTGCCCTCTCTCCGCCTCCCACCCAACGATACCATTTCCTGGGGGGTGGGGGTGGCTGCCCCTGCAGAGAGGGGAGGAGTGGTCAGCAGAGAGGGAGGGGCAGCTAAGGCGTAGTGCTGATCTTGCTGTGGGCAGGCAGGAGGCACCCAGCCTCCCTGGGCTGGCCCAGGCCGTGAAGTCCTGGAGTGTGGGTGGAGGACTCCTCCAGTTTGGCCCTGCCCACAGCCCTTGGAGGCAGAGAAGGGAGTCCTGAGGTCTCAGGAAGTGCCTGGCTTGATGCTGGGCCTTCTGTGGAGTCAGCAACCAGGTCCTGGGAAGAGGAAGGGGGCACCCAGAGCCCCCACTCCTCCAATGTTTTGTCCACAGCAAGATCCTTGGCAGGGCAGGCAGCCACCACCTCCCCACCCTGCAGGACAGAAATCCCTGAATAGTGGTTTGAGAAAAGTCTTTGTGCAGCTTGTGACACAAGACCCCCCACCCCCCCACCCGGAGTCCCCCACACAGGGGCAGACGGGGCTCATGGGAGGCAGGGCCGGGGCACAGTGTGGACCCACCTTGCCCCAAGCTTGGCCTCCAAGCCTCACTCCTGGGGTGAAGGGTTGCCTAGGATAGAAGGAGGTTCGGAAAGGGAATGAGGGCTGGGAGTGCTCTCCCACGGCAGGCCCCAGGAGGGAGGCGCCCTCCACCTGCAGGGGCAGAAGAGCGTAAGGTTGAGGCAAAGGACCAGGAAGGAGCAGACGGGAGGTGGCCGCCCGCACAGAGCAGAGCTGCAGGGCAGGGAGTATAAAATCCACTTCAGCTGCCTGTCAGAGTGAGCAGGGGTCCTGGCCGCGTCCCACACAGAGCCCACTGGGAGGGGAGATGCCTCTATGCAATCTCTTTGATTCTGCGCATGTAATTGTGCAGGTCTGGAGGTGGCGTGGACCTCGTGGCACCTGCCACATCCGGGCAGCCCCAACCCAGGTCCTCTTCATCCTCCTCATCCTCTTCGCCGGCGGGCACCGAGTCATAGGCCAGCTCCTCCGAGGGCAGTGTGGTGAAGGTGGTAAACTTGACGCGCTTGCGCTTGGAGGTGGGCGAGCTGGCCGGGTCCTCGGCCTGGTCCCGGGCCGAGCCGCCCGAGGAGCCATCGCCCCGGCCATGCACCTGGCTCTGGACGCTGGTCTGCGAGCTGCCGCTGCTGTGGTGGTCACCGTGGCAGCAGGCGGGCACTGTCTCCAGGGGGTTGCCGGCAGGCGGGGACAGCTCCCCCTGTACCCGCAGCGGCTGCCCGTTGCCCAGGAACACCCAGTGGTGAGAGTGGTCCATGCTGGTCTGGCCCTCGGGCGGGATGCGCTTGTGCCGGTAACGCAGCACGAAGACAATGCAGTTGATGAGGAAGACGAGGATGGCGAGGCAGAAGACCCCCAGGAGTGCATACATGCCGATCTCCAGGTCCGTCAGCCCACGTGGCATCTGCAGGAAGCTGGTGGGCAGTGGCAGGAAGTCCTCTGTGGGTGGCATGGCGGGACTGGCAGTGCCTGGCCCTGGGGCTTCGGGTGGGGGCATCGCCGTGCCTGGGGGGCCGGCACCCCGGGCCTCATCTTCACCCCCTCCAGGGCCTGGCTGGCTGGGGCCTGGGTAGTCATAAGTGGGGTCCTCCTCATCCCGCCCAAAATGCACCCGGAGGCCCACGGGGGTTGTGGCCAGCACACTCTTGCGCTTGGTCTTCTGACAGCTCTCAGCAATGGTGAGCTCTGCACGGAGCAGCTCCCCGGCACCCTCAGCCTTGGCCACCACCAGAGGGAAGGCGCGGTCTTGGGTCACTGTAGCCACCCTCTCATCTAGACTGCTCACCAGCAGCCCGTAGTCCCGGGGGCTGTAGAGGGAGAGTGGGGCTGTCGTGCCATCACTGTAGGAGAGCCAGAGGCTCAGGAGGGCTTCCTGGAGGAGGAGAGGACAGAAGTCACAAAACCGGCCCCACTGTCTTCTCTGCTAGATCCTGAGCTCTGTGAAGTCAAGATACTCCGACACCCGGTTGTGTACCCTATGCCCTGTCCATCCCATCCTTCTCCCTTGATGAGCTGGAGGTAGGTTCTGCTATGAGTCTAACTCAAGTCCCTCTGTTGCAGGAGTAACCCACATCTCCATGCTTGACCTTAGGATCGGTCCTATCAGGCGTTTGCGAATTAGGACTGCATGCCCAACCTCGGCCTTCTCCTCCATCTGTCCAACCCTTCCAAGAAGATCCCTCCTGCAGGGGAAGCAGGGCCAAGAAAGAAAGAGCTAATCTGGAGTCACAGAGCAAGTTAGTGGCAAAAGACTCCCACGTCCTGACTCCTGGCCCAGGGCTCCATCCCCACCTTCTTACTCTCTGTGCTGCCACCTGCTTCCTTCCCACTTTGTCCTGTGCCACCATCCTAGTGTGTCTGTGGGGGCTGTAGCTGGGCTCCAGAGAGGGGTGAGGGTCATTTCTGGTGTGGCAGAGGTGATGGGTCCCCTGAGAATCCGAGAGAGGGAGCCCTTGGCAGGACCTCGGGGTGGGGGTGCAGGAAGCGAGATCTAGGTCAGATTCCCTGAATGGATGGCAGGAAGATGGGGGAGGGGCAGGCATGCAGGGCATGAAGGGTAAACCATCCTCCATTAGCCAAAGGCCTCAGATGGGGACTTACAGTGCAAGACCAGGCCTGCAAATTCCTCTTCCACACCCTAATTCCCCGGGCCGGGCATCCAGTTACCTGCTTGAGGGAGCTGAGGGTCTGCTGGGCAGTTGTAGTGGCCAAGATGGTATGGCTGCTCCCAGGGCTGGGTCGCAAAGAGAGGGCAAGGCTGGCCACGACCTGGGCCTGCAGCTGTGTGATGCTGACCTTCTCCTCTGTCACTGTCAGCAGTGTCTCCCCGAGCACAGACTCCGTCAGTGGGGATACCACCTGAGGCAGAGCAGGGCAGGGATGGGCGATGGCTTAGAAAGCAGTACCCACAGGGTTCCCCAACTGGGGAGGAATCTTAATGCTGCTGGGAGGAAGGCACAGAGGAGTAGGGCAGGCTGGAAGCCTGGACTCCTGGGTGTTACCTTAGGTCTGCAACCAAGTCAAGGTGAAGAGGCCAAGGAAGGACCAGAAGCTTAGGACTCAGTAGCACTGATAGGACAGGTGGGTGGTTTTTTTTTTTTTTTTTTTAAAGATTTATTTATGTATACAGAGCAGGGGCAATGAGAGGATTCACTAGAGACAGAGTGGGGAGCAGAACAGGCCAACTGACGAAGTACACTGCTGAAGGGAGCAGCGGACGGGTCAGGAGAGATCTGCTGCGCCATGTGGGTCACTTCCTGGTTGGGGATCGAACTCATGCTGAAGTGGCTTTAGCTTCTTAGTGCTGTGCTTTAACCTGCTGCGCCACCAGAGAGGGCCCAGGTGGGTGGGTTTTAAGGAAAACTGCAACCTCCACAGCGTGTCAAATAGAAACTAATGTTCAGTCTCAATGTGAGGGAGACGAAAGGGAATGGTGGGGACTATGGCAAATGGGAGAACTCATGCTCATATGGAGAGGGTATTGGTATTAACTTTGGCTGATTATTGCCAGGTGGGAAAGCACACACAATGTTGTCAGATTCATACTTTGTAAGCCAGAAAACTAGGCTTAAATAAAAACAAGAACCTTCCCAAATTTAAAATGTTGAATGAGTTATTTTCGAAATAAATACTTTTTGAGGGTGATTCCAGGCCATAGGCCACACTTTAAAATCTCTTAGGTGGGTGACTTCTACTCAGGCACCTGATTATCAAGAAGGTCAAAAGTGAGCCCCCTAGATCTCCAAACTTCCCTTTCCTGGCCTCTGTGTTGGTTGATCCCTCTCATCTGCTGCCTCCCTTCATCCCCACCCGCTTTCACCCTGAGCCACATAAGGAAAAAGATTGATTAGACTTCGAGTGAGAACCTTCACCAGCGTGAAGCTTTGATGGTGGAATTTTAAACAGAGGCAGTTGGCAAGGAAGTATGTCCTGGGGTCCAGCTGGATGGTTCCCAGAAGCTGAGGACCCTGAGAAGCCTACCATGGTGGCACCTGTGTTCTCCCCCCACAGGTAAACGCGAATCCCAGCACTGCCCCTGCTGCCTACCTTGAAGGGGGTGGTGCCCGGCTCCAGGCCTGCCAGCGTGCTGCTGTCTACCATGCGTGCCACTCGGGGGTCGCCCACCCGCATGAAGTCGCTGACCAGGTCGGTGACCTCCACCAGCCAGTCTGGGCCCAGCATGGTGACCACCTGGTCGGTGCCCTCGGACGAGGTGGTGTGGAACTGGGTGAAGACCTGCAAGGTGGCATGCTGGTACTGCAGGGTGCAGCCCCGGCTCGCACTCAGCCGCCGCTCCTCCTCCTCCTCGTCATCATCCTCACTCTCCCGGGCGGACCTGCGGTGGGGAGGCACATGTCTGGGCTCCTCAGCCTGGCTGGGAGAGGCACAGGTGACTCCATCACCCCTGGCTTGCTGCCCCCCGGAAAGATTCCCCCTCTCCACTCCCCAAGAAGAAGTTATGCAGAGAGCTAACCCCCCCCCCACCACACACACCACCCCGATTCTGTCCTGTTGTCTCTGACAGACGTGAAGCCAAGAGCTCAGTCTTTTCCTCACTAGAAAGATACTGTTTGAGCCACCCTCTTCCCTCCCGACCTCTGCCTGGCTTAACCCCTGCCTGGCATGCCTGCCAAGAGCATGATAGGATTCATGCCAATCCTAGTTGGCATGAAGGAGCTGGGCAGACCATGGCCTGCATCATGTGACCAGCAGACTGGTAAGTAATGAACCTGGATATTTAGCAGAGGGGGTTTCCAAAGTATGGCAGACGCAACCTACACTCCTCTTGCTGCTTATAGTAAGTTGTGAGATGAGAGAAAGACACATTGAGGGAAGTGGTTAATAAAGGGGAGCCTGGGTTTAATGTTTTGGGAAACTGCCAAAGATCCACTACCAGGGAAGTGTGCTCTGGAGAGAGTGAAGCGTGTGGCTCGTGCTTTGCTAGGGCCTCAGAAGGACTGAACGACTAGAATATTCGTTCACACACAAGGCTCATTTACCTGTGTACACTAGTTGAACCCTCACTACAATCCCATGAGGTGTTAATGTGCCCATTTTACAGATGAGGATCTGAGGCTCAGAGAGGTCACCCAACTAGTGAGTTGGGATTTAAACCCAGGCTGTCTGGTTTCAGAGTTCACTGTGACCTAACTACTCAGAGCGGCACTGGCATCACCTGGGGAGCTGGTCAGAGATGCAGGATCACAGTCTCTATCCCAACCGAACCCTCTGGGTTTTTACAGGATCCTCAGGCGATGTATGCACACGGTGAATTCTGAGCAGCTCTGGTCCACACTGCTTTGCTTTTCCAAATTGCTGCAGAGCTGAACTGAGTCCAACTCCCACTTGGCTGTCTGCTTCTCCGCCCAGCCCCTCCCCTCCGGCTCTGCGCTGCCTGCCACTCTCCTTCCCTTCCCTGCTGGCTCTTCGCACCAGCAGCCAGGAGTGGGCGAGTCGAGTACTCTGAGAGCCCGAGTCCATGGCGCACAGACGGGCACAGGTGTGCAGTCCTGTGCACCTGGGTTGATGTGCTCACAAGTGTGCCCCATGTGGTTACATGCGTGTGTAGGTGGCTGGCTTGACTGCTCTCAGCCTCTCTCCCAGTCAGTTCCCTTTTACTTGTCCTTTAAGACTTAGTTCAAAAGTCACGTCTTCCAGGAAGTCTGCCTTGACTTCTTCTGGAGAACTTGATGGTTCCCTCCTTTGTGTCACTTGATTCCCTAGACACAGGGTTTACGTGTCCACCATACTCAGTGGCACATATAAGACAGGCTTGACTGCTGGACCCAGAGCTTGAAGGGTCAGGCACATTCACCACACCTGTCAAGCATCCATCAGTGCCTGGAGCACCACAGCTACTCAATAAAAGCTCGCTTTTTGCAAAACTAGCCCACAGACTGTATACAGTAAGTCCTCACTTAACATGGCCAACAAGTACTTGGAAGCAGTGACTTTAAGTGAGAAGACAGGTAATGAAGCCAATTTTATAAACAAGAGTTAAAAGTTCCTGCGGCACATTTCTGATGACAAAACATCACCAAATTTTAAATGAAGACCCCAAATAGTTCTAATATTAAACAATTATTCACACTTACTCATTCATCTATTTTCCAAACTGCTTATGCCAGTTCAGGGTCTCAGGCAGCCAGAGCTTATCGTGACAGCTCAGGGCACCTAGCCTGGGTGTGCACACACACACACACATGCACACACATGCACACACACATGCACACACACATGCATGTACCCTCGTGCTCATTTGCACTGGGACCACCGAGTCAGGTCAGTGGGCCCCATGCGCACGTCTTTGGGAAGTGGAAGGAAATCCTCCAGGCCTGGAGAGTAGAAGATCCACAGGGACAGTGGCCCTGGCCGGGGATGTGCTCCCTGGCCCCCACCAAGATTATAACAGACAGTGGCATTACTCAGGGCCTTATACACACGCACGGTCAGACCGTGTGCTGGAGCTGGGTCTACCACGAGTATCCCGAGTGCCCGCTGTGCGCAGAGGGGTTGTACCTCCGGTCGGGGAGGATCGGTACTCTCCAGCCCTTCACTTGACTGAGCCGGGCGTCTGACAGCTCGATGTGCAGGGGCAGCTTGGGGACCCAGACTGTCATTTCCAAGGGGGCATTGAGGACGTCGTAGCGGAAGGTGACCCTGGCGTTCATGGACCCTCGAGACTCCTTTCCACTCACAAACACGTAGTCGCAGCTGCTGGATACCTGGGGAGGTGAAGGGAGATTGGTTGGCATGTGGGGCAGTGCAGGGCGCTTTAGTCTGACTGGTGGGGCCAGAAGTCCACTGGAGACAGAAAGTGCCAGTCACTAGCGGCTAAGGTAAGGCAAACTAATTGCATTCTAGGAGGTGTCAGCTTCGGCGTACCCCACATCCACTCGGCTTCTCTAGAGATCATCTTGCAGCGGCTGCAGTGGGAGACTTCTTCTCCTGGGCAAGGAGCTGCCAGGGGCTGTTTCTCCTATGCCAGGTCTTACCTCAGGTAAGCCTCAGTCCAAGGGGTCTTGAGGCTGACTCCCACCCCAACCTTAAACACCTGCGTCTGGAGCATGTCATGTCCACCACGGCACAGAGGGGTCACCAGGCAGTCAGACTGGGCAGGGAGGGGCGGGGGAGGGATGAGGGATGAGGAGCACCCTGGCCCCTGGCCGCGTGTTCCCAGGAAAGTGGGCAGTGGGTAATTCAAGTGAGGGGGATGCTCTAGCTAAACTACTTCCACTGGAGGTGAGGAGGTGTGGAGGTGAGGGAAGAGGAGAGGAAAAATCTGAACCAGAGAACCCAAGTACAGCTAGTGGAGTGGGAGATGGTCACTAATGGGTACAGCTTGTACAGATGCACACGCTCCTTGACCCCAACCTCGTTCCTAGAGGTGCCACGACGGGCATGCGCCTGCTGAGCACGTCTTGGTGTGCACCTGTGCCCACGCACAGAGATGTCGTGCCAGCACTTAGGGTAGATGCAGATGGGAATGCGTCAAATGTGCCCACGCACACACCTGGCACGTCTTGGAGCCAATCCCGTGCCGGGCATTTGGGTGCTCCTGCTGGCACACACCCATGGGCACACATCCTTGAGTTTCAGGGAGAGTAGGTCTTGCAGCCCATGGGCTGATGACACTGTGAGGGCTCTGGTGGGGAGCAAAGAGGGTGCCGGGCTCTGGCTTGTCTGTGGAGATGAGCCGTTGGACGCTCCCATATCCTGCCAGTTCCCCTGATCATCTCAGAGGGGTGGGAGGAGGGAAGTGGGACAGCACCCTGCCAGAAATGTTCATTTCCCACTTCAGAAAGCAGACAATGCCATCTGAAGGCTGGCAAATTCCGTTCAGAATGTTGGCAAACTCCATAAAGAACTGAGTGTGTTTCATTGAGAAAGGAAACAAAATCCATTTCGAATCTTTGCTAAATCCTGTTGGAATCTAAGCAATCACGATGTTGCTCTGGGCTCCTCTGGGGCTAGGGTGGAGGAGTCAGAGGCAGAGACAGGTGTCGCATGAGGGCTCTTGGGACCAGGCTCATTCCTATCCCAGCTGCCAGCAGAGAAACACCCCTCTCCTCCCTGCTCTCACCCCACAACAAGGCACCCAGTTTGCGGGAGAGGATGGGAGTGTGGAAGCAAGCTATATACTTTGGCTCACTTGGGGCATATTCCTCCCGGATAGGGGTGAGGGTCAGGCTTCCAAGACCTGGAGGGATCCAGGCCAGCGCATGGTGAGAGAGAGGAGATACCTCTCCTGGTTAGCTCCGGAGAGCCAGAGGGAGAAGGGCACATCCCAACTGTTCCCACTGTTCTTCAGGCCCAGGAGTTCAAAGGGATAGGACAGATTCAGTTGTCTAGTCATCTGATTTTGGCATCTACGGGATACAGGCACTGCAACGGCTCACCCACCCCACAGGTCTGGGGGGCTAGACACCCTCTCACACTGCTCTGTCCCACTGCCTCGGCCACTGCCCAAAGCCAGAAGGGTGATCTGGAGCCTTTCTGGGAGGTGGCGACTGGACCGTTGGAGTGAGTTCTGTTTGCTGGGCCATGAAGGACCTGGGCCCAGAGTGGGTCTCAGGCCTGGTTTGAGTATGGAAGGGGCCTTGGGGATTTGGAGGAGTTGGGGTGAGTGTGCCTGGAGGGCTCCTGGTCTAATTTATGTTTCTGAAGGCTTCTTCCCTGAGCTGGGCCTCCTCCTTTTGGTCACCAGCACACAGGTTTGGGGCATGTCTCTGAGGGGCTGGTTTTCCGCCTACACCTCTTGGCTTGTCTGTCACAGAGCAGGGACTCAGTAATGACTTCCCAGATTAGAATGAGTGCAACTCACTGTTGCCTTCTCCCTAGGCCTGCCACAATTTTCAAGAAAGGCCACAGCAATACTGGGCCTTCTTCCTTACCCAATTCAGGCTGGATATAGGATCCTGGCATCTCTTCCCATACCTCCCCCTATTTCTCTTTTGCCTACCAAAGAGACCTTCCCCAGAAGTGAATTCCCCTCTTGTTTGATATTTTGATCCCCTGAACATCTGAGACCTTCTTTCTAGGGACTCCACCTCCAGGAAGCCCACCTTGATGATGTCCTCATTGTCAGATTCACATTCCACTAGGGCAGAGACGTCTAGGACAAGGCCGGTCACCTCGATGGCAATGACCTTGACAGGGATGGCCACCGTCCGGCCAGTGAGGATGGCAGTGTTGATGATTTCTGTGTCCTGTGGGAAGGAAAGAAGATTGGGAACCTGCTGATGGGGGTGCTTGCATCCTCTGTTCTCCTGGGACAGGACAGGCAAGGCCCCAGCTGCTGCCCACTTCTTGAGGGGATACCTGCAGCCACGCAGAGCAGTGCGTCCACCCAGGCTTAAGCTCCTCACTCTGCTCACTTGCACTCCTGCAGTGGCCTCTGCACCCTCCTTTCTCTGCTGCCAGCAAGTCCCCTCGACACTGTCCCGCTCCTAGGGACCACATCCCCCTGGCCACTGCAAATGCCCGAGTGGTCCCACTCTATCGCTCCACTCTCAACACCCCAGTATTCCTAAATTCATTGTTTCCTGGAACAAACCGCTCACACACCCATGTCCCACTTTGCCCACGTGAGTCTTGCCCAGTGTGCCCTCCTCATCTTCTCTGATGCCATCAACGTGACCCTCAAGGTTCAACTGCCGGGCCACCTCTTCCAGGCAGCCTCTCCCAAGGCATGGTTCCTTCATAACTGGTTTCTTCCCCTCTGTGTCCCTCAGCACCTCCCCTTCTCCTCTAGCACGACGCACAGAGCACCGCCGGCCTCACGCGCATGTACACCTATGTCCCTGTGCACATGGCACAGCTGGGCTCAGGAGGTGGCCACATACATCCTCAGGCGCTGGCTCATGGGCACACAGGTGGGGTCCCTGAGCATACTCGGCACTGCACATTCCAGCTCTCCCACAGGCACCCACGACAGACACAGCCACCATGGTCCACTCGCCTGCCCCGCTCACCATGGCTAGAGGCAGGATGGCTTGCACGTCCCTCTGGATGACCGTCAGCTCAGTGACTGCCCGCTCCAGGTCAGGCAGGGCACCGTGGCCACGATAGTCGATGTGCCACATGATTCTCCGCTTGACCGACTGACTGGTGAAGTTCTCCATCTCAAAGTCCAGCTGCAAGATCTCCAGGGGCCCCTGGCCCTCCCTGCAGAGTGGGAGAAGGAAGGAGTGCATGGGAAAAAGGGGTGGGAGCAGCTCAGGAGCTCTGAAACTTCCCATGGGCCTTCCTTGGCAGTCCACCACTGCTTCTCCCACCACCGGAACCACCCTGGCCTGAACTCGCATTCTAGCAAATTAAGCCCCAGCCCTCCCACAAACCTGGTCTCCGTCACCAACTCCCCCATCCCACCAAGCGCTGATCTACAAAGTGGTAGGCAGGGAGGCTGCCTTGGCTCACCAGGGGGGCAGGGGTGTGCCCTGTGCCCAGGATACATCCACAGTGGCTGTTGAGTGCTTTGCACCAGTCAGCAGCTCTGAGGTGACGTGCCACTGGCCGGTCCGTGACTTGGTGCCCAGAAGGGTCACGCCCTTCTTGGCTTTCACCCTGGGACAAAGGGAAGGAGGAAGAGGCAGAGATGGTCAGCCTAGGGCCGCAGTGACTGCCCATGTGGCCAGCATCCCTAGGCTAGGACTGGGGGAATGTGTAAGTTACGTGGAACCCAGACTCAACGTTCAAGACCAACCTGGCAAATCTGAAACCTCTGACCTCTGTGGAAGCTGCAATCACTTTCGCTACATCCCTGCCAAACTTGCCTCACCTCTACTTGCATGCCTTAGTGACAGGGGCCTCACTACTTCTGTACATGTTGCATTCCATTTTCAGGAAGCCAACTGCTATTGGTTCTGGTGGGGCAAGAGAAAATAACTCCTCTACTTTAATGGTAACTATTCTTCAAATATAAGCTGCTGTTCTCTGTCATCTTTTTTTCCAGGCCCTAAAATGTCTAACTCCTCCAGTTATTAACATTTTTACTATAGTTTTAAGACATTTCCTAGTTACCCCCTTCTGAATACTTTAAGCACACAGGTGTAGTAGCCTTTACTTCACCTCAGCTATGCTCTTATTAATACTGACCAGAGCAGAATGATTATCACCTCCCTAATTCTACATAGTCGTCTTCTGTTAATACAGCCAAAGATCTCTGATGGCTGATTTAATTCATATTCATATTCAGGTATCATCACTGAATCAAGTCTGACTCTTTACAGGGATATTTGAACTATAAGGTAGTGTGCTCAGGAGAGAGAGCAATACTTAAGAAGCTGGAGGTCCATCTTCCAAGCACTTGCTTGGGTTGGAAGGGCATTTTACTGGGGTTTTCTCACCCAGTATGGCTCAAGTCATGAATTCCTACTATGAAACATTTTATTTGGGGGGATGTGAAAGGAGTTACATCATTTATGAATTTAGGAACTACAGGCTTCTCAGGGCATAGAAAGAGCTGGGACTGAAATTTTTTCTCTCAACCCCAGGGCTGGGTAAATGTTAGGGAACATTAACACACTGGTGTTCATCTTTTGGTTGCTGGAAGAGGAGCTGCTCTCTGATCTCTTTGTCTCCACTTTAGCCTTGGCGCCTCATCTGTGAAAGGGGAGAGTTACACCAGCTGATGGCTAAGGGCCTTTCCAGCCTCAGCCTGTCACCCCGGACATCCGCCTCGGTGGAACTGACACTTGCCCTTTACATGACACTATTTCTGTGAGATGCAAAGGGCAGGACAGACATTTTTGTTGCCTTTAGAGAGATGAGAGCACTGAAGCTCAGGGAAGTGAGGTGTCTTCCTGAAGCTGTTTAGTGATAAATGGAAGACCTCGGGTTAGGGTGCTGGACAGATAGGTCCAGGGGTGAAGTATTCACTTGACCTTGGAGGAGACACCAGACCTTGACCCACCACTCCCCTACCTGAGTGTGAAATGCTCCACGCTGGGGCTGGAGGGAGAGGAGGAGTTAGGAGCCAGATAGAGGAGGACGCTGAGCACCTCTCCCGGCTTGAGGGGCCGATCCGGCAGGCGGATCATCAGGTTGCTGTCCAACCTGTGCTCCTGCAGGGTCCTCCTGGGGGGCGGGCGGAATAGGCTGATACTCCCGATGCGCAGCAGTGGGTGCTGGGTGGGGCTCTCAGCCCGAGCCCCCAGCCCCGGCCCGGATCCCCGGCGGGTGGCCCCACAGCCCCCTGATGCATCTGGGGCGTGGAGAGTGTAGTAGAGCTCAGCCTGCTGGCTCTCCCCTGCTGCCTCAGGCTCAAGCCCATCCGAAGACTTGCGGCGGGCGGTGGGTGGTGCGGCTGGGGCGGGGGGCCCAAACCAGGCCAGGGGCAGCTCTGCCCGCACCAGACAGGTGGCCAGGCCCCCGCTGAGGCGGCAGGAGCTCTTGACCTCCCGCGCATCCCGGAAGGCGTGCAGACGGACACAGGGCAGCCGCTCGGTGACACCAAAGTCATCCCAGTCCCGGCCGGCCACGTAGAACAACACCTGGGCCACGGGCTGCGAGGCAGGCACACGGGCCCGGACGATGAAGGCCCGCACCTTCCAGTTGACGGTCAGGCGCTCGGGGATGTCCAGGGTGCTGGACGGCTGCAGGAGCTCTCGGGCCACCACCTGGCTGGTGCTGAAGGGCCCCAGGGAGACGTTGAGGACAGGAAGCTCCTTGGTCTGGAACACCACGAAGGGCTCAGAACGCTGCAGGGATCCATTGGCGACGGCAGGTGGTGGGGGCCGAGCCTCCCGCAGGAAGAAGGCCAGTCTGGTGTGCGACAGGCGGTAGCTGATGGGCAGCACCGGGCTGGCCTGTGGCCCCGGTGGGCTGGGGCTGGCTGCATGGGAGCGGCCAGAAGCTGGGGACAGACAGAAGAAAGACCCCACAGTGATGAGAGGCTGCTGGCAGATTCCAGGGCACCCGGCCTCCCACCCTCACCGAGGCCCTTCGCCTCTCAGCAGGCAGTGCTCAGCCTGGCTCCATCTGCTGTGGCCTGGGCTTCCTGGGCTCGGGGGCTGGCCCCCTCTTTGCTAGTGTTAATTCCCTCTCACTGCTGCTTCATTTCTTTATCTGCAACGTTGGGGAAAAGCTAATACCAAGGCAAAGCACTGTGAAACTTTAAAGAGGTTTTACTCCCTGGTGCCCTCATCTGTAAAGTGAATATAGAAATGTTTCTGCCGCAAAACACGATTGTGAGAGTTGACGAAAAGTCACCTGAGAGCAGAGTGTGACGCCGAGAAATACAAACTCCTTCCACTACTTGCACTCAGTCCTCAGCGTGCATTCGCTTATTTGATACTCAGATTGTTTTATTATGTCTCCATTGATTCAACTGGTTTTCTATCAATAGCTTCTTGTTTGAGAGCCTGTCCTTACATCTGGCAGATAAAGGCGTTTGAGGAAGTTACCCAAGTCACACGAGAGAGGCAGCTGACTCAAACCCAGCTCCTTCACTGCTCCAGCTGCCTTGAATGGTACAGGGTCCCCAGGGATCCTGTTATTACCTCCTACCCGTCTGCCAGGTACCATGTACCCTAGGAATTTGACCTTCCGTCCCCCAAACCCAATGTGGACATCCTGTTTGACTTCTGCTTGGTCACTTGCCCTATCTGTGTAGGATCCTGTCAAGTTCTAGAATTCTACTGACTCACAGGGCTGTTCTGGCCTGCACTTGTCCTCCATCCCCAGTTTTTGCCCCAGCTCTGGCCTGACTCGTATTGTTATGACAATGCAACACTGCTGAGGTGCGGCTCCCCTCTCCCTAATTCACCCCTCCCTGTCACCCTGTCCCCAACATGGTAGCCAGAGTGATTTTTTTTTTTCTCTAGACACAATTCCAGACCTTTTGGGGCCTGCCTTTACTCCAAGCTGTGCATTCTCAGTCAAGAAACAGGAGGCCCAAGATATGAAGCAATTCTGGACCTCATCTTTCAAATCAGAGTAATAATCACTTGGTCTTGCAGGGGGTCGTGTTGTCGTTTGTTTTGGTTTGAGAATTAATAAGAAAGAGCTCTGCGAACCGTGCAATACAATGCAAATGTGTGTGAGTATGATTAAAAAGCCTCTCCCTTCTGTTCACCAATTAAAACTCAAATTCACTCTGTGCCTGAGAGTGACATTCGGGATCCTTTATAACAGGGATCTGGGCTGCCCTTCCCCAGGAAATCCCTCAGACCTGCTACCAACACAGCTGGACAACTTGGTGCTCAGTTGGCTTTGTAGTGTCTTATTTCCTCTCTTCTGGTCACGCTGAACCTCCGTGTCAAACTGTCTCCTTTCCTATTTGCACACATCCACATCTGAAGTTTCAGATCCATTGTCACCTCCTCTGAGAAGCCCTCCATGATGTGGCTGGAGCTTTCCTCAGAGCCTTGCCCATCTCTGAGAGGACCTCTCATCCTGCCTTGTGTGGGAGTTAGTCACCTACAAGGCCACGCACCTGCGCACACCTTCAACAAACCACAGTTGTGTTCTCCACTGAGTGATTCCCGGAGACTTGTGTCCCCAGGACACTCAGGGCAATGGCGGGTACATGGTTTATGGCATTTGTCATCTTACTGCCATCAGCAATGCTTAACAGTCTCACATTCCCAGCCAATTAAATGCCATGAACCACAATTTCCCTGCTCTAAGTTTTGTATCTACATTTTATTTCTTTAAAGCTGTGGTTTAATGTCCTCATTCAAAAAATGAGGCAACTGGCCTTAGGGTTCAGTCTTCTCAGAGGAGTGGCACCTGAGCCACATTCAGCACTGGTCCCTGCACTGGTCACCAGCACTGGTCCCTGGCCCTCTTCTCTGATAGCAGATAGCTCCCCCATTCCCAGAAGAACGTTGCTCCCAGACCACCCTTGCCCCCTGGATGCTCTGCAGCCCTGCCAGGGTGTGGCTGTTGATGGTGGTGTGCAGGGGGCGCTCCAGAGTCCCAGATGAGCCAGGAGAGCCTGCCTGGCCAGCCTGGAGACCCCACCCGAGTTACTACTGACATCCCGGAGGTGTCACTGTCCCCAGGACAGACACGTGGCCGCAAGGTAGGGGTCTGAGCCAGAACACTGCAGCGAGTCAACTCTTTTGGAAGCAGGGGGGCTTGGGGGCGCACGTTCAAGACTCTTCCTTGCCATGGACTCACTGGGCAAGTATTGGGTTGTTGGAAAAGTCAGGATGCATTTTTGCTTGAAAAACATAGAAAAAGTATGTCATGATTTTTCCAACAACCCAATAGATTCCCCTTTTGATTCTCAGTCTCCACTTCTGAAATGGAAATGGTGACATCAGTCCCCTCAGAGGGAACTTGAGTAGCTAAAAGGCCAAGGAGGGTGGGCAGCACTGGTACTTCACGTGGTGGATGTCCAGGGCTGAGTCCTGGGTGGAGACGGACAGGTCTGTGCTCGTCCTGCTGGAGAACGGCAGCTGCGGGCACTCGCTGTCTAGGCCGGTGGCCAGGTGGGGATGTCAGGAAGACAGCACCACTGCTCTTCCCCTGCTCACTGTCCCCAGGAGAACCCGGAGGCTGCTAAGTGCACTTAGTCCCTTTTGACCCCCTCCCACCATCCGATCTCACGGCTGGCCATCTGGAAAACAGTGGGGGCAGGGCGACCAGATGGACAGCAGAGAGGCCGTGGAGGGAATGGAGAATTGTATTTACATGTACCCTTCTGTCTTCAATAGCTTTCTGTGGAATGGATGGGATTCCCTGAATGAGCTCCCTTACCCAGGAGACGGAGCTTGGGAGATGAGTGAGTAGTGACTGCAACCGAGAGCCCTCATATCCTACAGCCAAGATCAGGACAGACACACACAGAAGGAAGATGGAGTGAAGACATGGAAAGACAGTCATTTGCAAGCTAAGGAGAGAGGCCTCACTAGACACCAGCCCTGCCAACACCTTGATCTTGGACTTCCAGCTTCCAGAAGTGGAATACAGTAGATTTCTGTTGTTTTAGCTACCCGGTCTCTGGGACTTGGTTCGGGCTACCCGAGCAGACTAACATAATGGGTTGGGCTATGTCTGTTCCTCACAGTCTCAGATTCCTTATTTATATGTGGAGACACCACGTGAAGGAAGGAAGACAGGCTAGGATCACAGTTTCTGCACGTGGGGATATTGATGGTGGCTGAGGTGCTCCCAGGCTGGGCCCAGCATGTGGCCTTTCCCAGCTGCACCAATTCTTTCCTCCCACGGCCCCCGGAGGGCATGTCCAGCTCTTTCCAACACTGCCCCCACCTAGCTAGTGCTTCTGCTACTTTGCTCAGTCCAGTTCTGCCTCTGATCAGAAGCTTGGCCCCAGTGCATTTGCAAAGATGCGATCTCAATGAGTTGGCTCATTCGCCACTTCCAGGAATGCCCTCTGGGGGGTTGGATGCTGGTGCACGCGTGTCCTTCCACCTGGCGAGGCCTCTCAAGCTCCCTCCAGCTCCAGAAGGCATGAGCTGGTTCATGCTTTTGTCTTTTCAGCTGAATTAGGAGATGGACTGACAGTCTGGACAGCTTTGCACATGGTACAAGCTTAGCAGCAAGTGTCACTTCTGCCCTCTGACGAGGCTGGGCACCTGCTTAGGGCATGTGGTTGAACAGAAGCTCTCCCACTGCATCTCAGGCTCGTGTGATAATGTCTCAGCACACAGCAGCAACCTTGCTTCACTCCCCCACCCAGATACCCTTGCACTTTCTCCCCAGCACAGAGACCAGCACCCTTTTCTACCGTACTGAATGTGTGTGTGTGTGTGTGTGTGTGTAGATATATGAATCTGTGCAGGCTAGGGCCAGGTCAGCTGGAAGTAGGGGTACCTATGGCCATCTTCCTGATTCTAATCAAGATCAGATGCCTCCTGCTTCTACCTCTAATTATCCCCAAATTAAAACGAATCACTTGCAAATAAGAAAAAAAAAGATTGTCATTAGCTTTGGTGAGTCTGAGGCTGTGGAGCACAGCAAGGCATGCTGCCAGGGCCTGAGGGTGCTGACTGTGCTGAGCGAGGGCTTGGTTGCTCACTTGTATGTGCAAACATGCATGTGTGTGTTTGTATGTGTGTGAGCATGTGTGTGTAGGTACAAGAACCATACCAGACGTCAGTGCTTGGGGAGCCTTTAGCATTTGCTCTTGAACTTGTCTGAGTATAGGAATCAGCCACTGGAGCAAATAGAAAAATAGCAAAGAGATTCTAGGGCAGGACCCCAAGTTTACATAATCAAAATTTCTAGGTAGACACCTGGTGATTTGTATGCTTATGTCATCATGGCAGAAGTCTGGAATCCTGGAAGAAAGGATTAGGAGATGCTGAAGGGGCTGTGACCAGCATGACATAAGGTAGTAAGTCTGAGAGTGAGTGAGGAAGTGCCTGATCCTAGAACAACACCTTGTCCATACAGGTGCCGAGTCTATAAACAGATGAATGAATGCCACGAATGAGAGGGAGTGGGAGCCATGGTTGATACAGGTGGCAGGAGGGATCCGAGGGGCCATACAGTCCATGAACAAAAGGCGTAGTGACTCCCCAACTTAGGCCTCCAGGCCTACCAGCGTGGTGTGACCTATCGGACAAGCCCCTGGAGTAGAAGCTCAGCACTCGGGGTGCGTGAAGGCGGCCGAGCCAGGCGGAAGGGATGGCCGGTTGCAGTTCCACTCTTCCTTGGCTATTGGGTGAAACTGACCAAGGCAAGCATGTCATCTCTGCTCTCTAGAACTCTGTTTCTCCATTGACAAAATGGAATCATTAACCAAGACAGCAAGTTACGTGTAGCAAGAGGGGGTGATGAAGTGGGAAAAATCAGTCTTGCAAAAGAATATTGTTTTAATTTTGATACTCAGTGTTAGCCAGGGTTTTAAGAACTGGGCATTCACATGCCCTACTACTGTAA